CAAGAGCTCCCCGATATTCAGGTCAGCTGTTTCTGTGTGTTTCACCAGCCTGGTCTGGACCCCTTTGCTCTTCACTCATCCTTCTCTGCATCTGGATTCCAGTTCAGTTCAGTGATTAGTTGTGGGTGTCTGCTTCTACTTTGACCAGCTGCTGGATGAGAGCTTTCCGGTGGCATATAAGTCAGTCATGAATCTCATCATCAGGGGAGTGCATTTAAGGTAGCCGCTCCTCTGTTGCTTAGATTGTTAGCTGGTGTCATCTTTGTAGCTCTCCAGACATTTCCCTAGTGCCTGATTTCTCTGTAAACCTAAAATGTCTCCCTCTACTATGGTATCTCTATTCTTGTTATCTTCTATTCTTCCCCTGACTCAACCTTTCTGCTCCCTCATGTCCTCCTCACCCTTCCTCTTCTCCTCTTCTCATTCTCCTAGCTCCCCCCCCCCTTCCCGTGCTCCCAATTTGCTCAGGAGATCTTGTCCCTTTCCCCTTCTCCAGGGGACCATAACACTTAATAAATTTTAAGCAGCATATACAGACAGTAATGCAATGTACTATAATTATGCTTACAAACATTATAATCTAGTATTCTGAACTTCATCCATTTCAGATAAACCTCAAGGAAAAGTTTCTCTATGTGCCTGCTTTGCAAATGAAATAAAAATTTAAACAATTTATCTCAGGTGCTGTTTCAATGATAGGTCAGTTTGGCTTCTAATACCTGGTTTAAACAAGAAAATGAAAATACACTAGCTTGTTTTCTAGAACTATGATTGTGACTTTTTGTTTTAGTACCATGTAGTAGGATCCAGCTTTTACTATAGTTATCCCCAGTAAAATTTGTGAAATCAAATTTAATTGCTATTATTTGCCTAACTTTGATTTGAAAGCATGTGGCATAGCAATAACATTATTTTTTGTCTTATAATTGCAACAGAGTTTTTCTAAGAAAAGAAGAGCAAAAAATATTAAGAAGATGGAATACACAAAAAGGAGAAAAATTAAGAGGGCTAGTGACACAGTCATGAATGGAACAGATGTTGCCAGTTCCCAACTCCTTAGTATTTTACCCACATCAGAAGTACCGCAACATAACATTGTCACAAGCCATAGCACAACCAGGGAAGACAAGAGAACTGAGGTAGAACATTGCTCCCATGAGAAGCAGGACAAAGGCACATTAAGTTCAAGTGTATCTTTTGAACAGAGTAATTGTTTTAATAAAAGCTACACTGAAGACATTTTTCTAGTGACACCACCAGAATTAGAAGAAACCATCAGAGATGAAAAAATAAGAAGACTTAAGCAGATTGTAAAAGAGAAAGAAGCAGCTCTTGAAGAAATGCGTAAGAAGATGCACCAAAAACAGTAAAATGTCTAGGATTTAAAGACTTGTACTACTACAGTAGTTCTCTCTCACCTGCTGGGGATACAGTCAAGACCCCCCCCCCCCGCCCCAGTGAATACCTGAACTGGAGATGATACCAAATTCTGTATTCTGTATACAAATGATGTAAAATCTTGATGTTTATTCTGATAACTCAACATCTGCTTTAGATAATAACAAGAAAGTAGGATATGCACTTCAGATACACTCAATGAAGAGGATAATTGATATCCTGAATAGGACACTGAAATTTTTTGTCATGCTACTCAGAATGGCATATAATTTAAGAGTTATGAATTCCTCCTTTCTGGAGTTTCTCATTGATATTTTGGACAGCAGATTATCATGGGCGTCAGAAAACAGAAGAGGCAACTGCAGGTTACAGAGGATTACTGTTATTTATAAAGGCACTCTGAAAGTGTCTTTGTATATAAAACTTGAGTACAGAAAAGGTTGAGTCATTTGACTCATTGAAAATCTATATGACATATTTTGACTCACTTGTTTTGGAAGAAAATTTTTGGTATTTTTCTGTGAAATGAAATTCCCCAAGTTTGAATATTTTGTACAAAATTTCTGTTAATGTTATATCTTCTACTAAATTCCTCAGGTCTTACACTAACAAATATTGTGTACTAAAAGTCTACAATCCAAGATAGTCAGCTGTAAGCTTAACTTTACCATTGAGTTTCTATGTGTACTGTCTTGATCTTCTTACCTATAAAAATGATACAACCTATTCACTGTTGTTGCTATTTTTTCCATCAAGAAAATCTATTAAAATTTATTTACTCAAATATTTTTCGACATGAAGGGCAGATGCTTTTTGCATGTCTGCAATATTATATATTCCAAAAAGTTTGAAGTTTAGGCTATTTAATGATATTTTATCTTTGGCTTGCAAATTATGCCTTATGAAGCTAGAGAGGTAATTCAGCAGTTAAGAGCACTTGCTGTTTTCTAGGATCCAAGTTCAGTCCCCCACTCCCATGTCAGGTGGTTCGTAAGCACCTGTAACTAGAGCTCCAGAGGACCCAGCACTGCCTCTTACCTGCAGCAACTACATACATATATGTCTTACATTCGACATAGACACATAAAACTATGTTTTTAAATTATATGTTTCTTTAACAGCAGCTTCTTTACATTTTGGTATATGTGCATACATGTGTTGCATAGCTTATCTGAAAGGGAGATTCGTTCCTTAGTCATATGGAACTTAGTCACTTTTGAAACTATAGTTTTTCTCTAGGAGCATCCAATTTTTTGAGTTAATCTTTGATTTGGGGAAGTTTGAAAGTATAAGTGAATGGATGGAGAATAAAAAAGCAGGGTTAGCTAGTTGAAAAAAATCAACAAATTTCTGGAAATAAGACCCCAAAATTGTAAAGACAAAGAACCATAAACAAGTTTTAAATAGTAGTAAAACAATGTATCAATTAGATTCTGCTGCTTTTTGTAGTAGTCGTTTTACTGCACTAAAATGTGCGTGCATACCATAAAATTTACTCTTAGAAGGGTGAAAGCACCAGTAATTTCAGAACACCACACCCCCTCATATAAATTCTGTAACCCTTAGCAATCACCCCATTCTTTATTTTCACCTATGCAACACCCAACTTCAATAGAAATTGTTATTTGTGACAAAATCATAAAATATATTTTGTAACTTTTTTACTTGAACAAATACTGTAAGGTTTATTCATATTCTAACATTAGTATATGTTATTACCCAGCAATATTCCATTGTATGGAATCTTCATATCTGGAAGATTTGTTCTCAAATGCCCCAAGGATATCAAAATCCATATATGTCTAAGTCTTATACATAAATTGGCATAACTTTTACATATAATCTCACCACAATCATGTCTGTGTCTTAAATATTTCTAGATAAACAGCATAGCAATGTAGATTTATTTAATAACTTTATTTAGGGAGTAAGAAAGTATTAATGTAGACATTTTCCAACATTTTTAACATATGGTTGATTGTAAAACTTGCATATAAAACTGGACTAGGTTTTGTTTATCCACCTGATACCAACACTTGGATTATTTCCAATATGGGATACTAAAAGTGCTGTTATGAATGTGTATAAGCTTTTCTATGAATATATGTTTTATTTTGAGTATACTTAGTTGTATAAGCTCTGAGCTACCATATTAACCAAACTATTCTAATTTGGATGTTGTTCTCCTTACTCATCTTATTTGGTCTTGTCAAGGCCACCAGTAACATGTTTCTCATTTTGAAGATTGATTGTCAGTCTTTAAAATCAAAATTTAATTTCATGACATTATTTTGCTTGATTAATGTTTAACACATTAAGGGTTTGCTATTCACTAAATTCAAGTGTATATTTCTTCTGAAATACTCTACTTGAAGAGTAGCTTGAATCCTTTTATAAAGAAAGATTGCTCAGGGGTGATAGGGATATTGAGTTTGGTCCCCAGGACCCAAATGAAAAGAGCCATGCTTAGTGACACATGCTTATAATTCTAGTGCTAGGGAGGCAGTATCAGTAGAGTTTCAGGGCCAATGTGACATCCTATCTCAAAGGCATCAAAGCATTTCTGAGGAATGGGCCAAGGTTATCTTCTGGCCTTCATACAACATGAGTACACACAACAATAAAAATATTCACAATATATGTTTCTGGTCTCAAATGCCAACTTTCAATTGAATTCATATTAAGATTTCATCATCACAAAAGCAATATAAAGTCACCCTTGCCCATCTTCAGTAGTGATCATACTGCCAAATAGGATGGCCAGTTAGGCTTTTATCTTTTTCTTAATATTTTAGCAACATTTGACACATTTGATTATTAATAATTTTAAAGTATTTTAGCTATAAAAGTATGTTTATTCATCAATGGTGATACAATTTATAATTACAAGATCCAGTGAAAAGGCAAATTTTTCACTTCTCAAATTTCTGGCTTCAACTTTTTGAGATTTGGAGACAATAAATCAGTATTTCCAAATAGGCTTGGAGTTATCAATTTTATGGTATTTTAAGCATTTTCAGCAATCCTATGCTCTGTGATTTGAATACATAAAATTCTTTAACAAATAAAATGCACTAAGTTTAGAAGTACTTACAAGGAATAATATATAACCTACAAGAATATTCTATGAAAAGCATAAATTGATTCTCTTAAATAAAGGAAAAGAAAAAAATGGAAGATATAAATATACCTAAGCCAAAAAACAGGTGAAGGAAACGGTTCAAGACATGAAAATTGAAAAGGAAGCAATAAAGAAAGCAAACTGAGGAAATTTTGGAAATAGAAAATCTGCGTAAATGAACAGGAACTACAGATGCAAGCATAAACAACAGAATACAACAGATGGAGGAGACAATCTCAGGCATTGAAGATACAATAGAAGAAATAGATTCACCAGTCAAAAAATGTTAAATCCAACAAATTCTTTATGCAAAAGACAATGGAATCTGGGGCACCATGAAAAGACCAAACTTAAGAATAATAGGGATAGGGAAGGAGAAAAACTCGAGTTCAAAGGCACAGAAAGGTATTCAGCAAAATCATAGAAGAAAACTTTCCTGACCTAAAGAAGAGCATGCCCATGAAGACACAAGAAGCTTACAAAACACCAAATAGACTGGCTCAAAAACAAAAACAAAAAATCCCCTCACCACATAATAAAACACTAAACATACAGAATAATGAAAGACTATTAAAATCTGCAAAGGAAAAAGAAAAAGTAACATAAAAGCAGACATATAAGAATTACACCTGACTTCTCAAAAGAGACTCTGAAAGCCAGAAGGTACTGGACAGATATTCTGCAGACACTAAGAGATCACAGATGCCAACCCAGACTGCTATACCCAGCAAAACTTTCAATCACCATAGATGGAGAAAACAAGGTATTCCATAAAAATACCAGATTTAAACAATATGTATCACAATTCCAGCCCTACAGAAAGCAGTAGAATGAAAATTCCAACCCAGTGGAGTTAGTTTCAGCCACAAAAATGCACAGACAAAGGTAATCCCATAGAAGCAAATTCTAAAGAGGGAAACACACAAAACCACCACAAAAAAATAGCAGGTATTAACAATCACTGGTCATTAATATCAATGTACTCAATTCACCTATAAAAAATCACAGGATAACGGAATGGATGAAAAAACAGGATCTATCCTTCTGCTACATATAAGAAACACACCTCAACTTTAAAGACAGACATTACCTCAGGGTAAAGGGTTGGAAAATGACTTTCCAATCAAATGGACCTAAGAAGCAAGCTGTTGTAGCCATATTATATCTAACAAAGTAGACCTCAAACTAAAGACTATCAGAAGAGATGAAGAAGGACATTTCATATCACAGGAACCCCATCAAGATGAAGTCTCCATTCTGAACATTTATGCCCTAAATACAAAGGCATCCACATTTCAGGGGGAAAAAAGAGCATTACTAAAGCTTAAATTGCACATCAAACCCCACTCACTAATAGTGGGAGACTTCAACAACCCACACTCACCAATGGATATGTCTGCCAGAGAGAAACTTAACAACAAATAAGGGAACTAACATATGACTCAAATGAGCATAACAGGCATCTCTAGAACATTCCACCCAAACACAAAAGAATATACCTTTTTCTTAGCACCTCATGGTACCTTCTCTAAAATTGCCACATACTCAGTCACAAAACAAATCCCAACAGACACAAAAATTTGGAATAAACCTATGTATCTTATCAGATCACCATGGCTTAAAATTAGAATTCAATAGCAATACAACTTCCAGAAAGAGTGCAAACTCATGGAAACTGAATAATGCTCAACTGAATCATCCCTGGGTCAAAGAAGAAATAAAGAAATTAAAGACATCCTGGAATGCAATGAAAATAAATGTACAAACTTATAGAATGCTATGAAAGCAGTGCTAAGAGGAATGTTCATAGCACTAAATGCCTACATAGAGAATTTGGAGAAATTTCACACTACTGAATTAATAGCACACCTGAAAGCTCTAGTGCAAAAAGAAGCAAATGCACCTGGGAAGAGTAGATGCCAGAAAATAATCAAATTGAGGGCTGAAATCAATAAATACAAAGAGTTTGTTCTTCAAGGAAATCAACAATATAAACAAACCCTTATCCAAGCTAACTAAAAGGCAGAGAGAGAATATCCAAATTAACAAAATCAGAAATGAAAAAGGTGATATAACAACAGACACTGAGGAAATCCAGAGAATCATCATGTCATACTTCAAAAACCTGTACTCCATGAAATGGCAAAATTTGGAAGAAATAGACAATTTTCTGGATAGGTACCACATACCATAATTAAATTAAGATTAGGTAAACAATTTAAATAGACCTATAACCCCTAAGGAAATAAAAGCAGTCTTTAAAACTCTGACAACTAAAAAAGCCCAGGACCAGATGGCTTCAGCTCATAATTCTACCAGAATTTCAAATGGCTAACACCAACACTCCTCAAATTGTTCCACATGATAGGAACAGAAGGAACATAGCCAAACACCTTTTATGAGGCTACAATTACCCTAATATTAAATCCACACAAAGATTCATCAAAGAAAAAGAACTATAGACCAATTACTGTCATGAACATTGGTGTAGAAATGCTTAATAAAATACTGGCAAACTGAATCCAAGAACACATCACAAAAATTATCCACTATGGTCAAGTAGGCTTCATCCCAGAGATGCAGGCATGGTTCAACATGTGAAAAT